AAATGAGCTTTTTGGGGTGATGAAAATGTGATACAATTAGTGGTGGTAATTGCACAACTCTCTCAGTTTGCTAAAAATCACTGAATTGTACCTTTCAAGGAGTGAATTTTATGGTTTGTCAATTAGATCTCAATGATGTTGCTTCAAAAACATACCATGGTTGGTTGGTTTCTGGGTTTCTGCAGCAGCAGGTACCAAAGGCATTCAGAAGACTGACTCTGTGCCAGGCACTACTCTTAGTCCTAAGTATATATTAATCTATTGATTTCTCCACCAAACCTATGGGGTAGGAAGTATTATCCTCATTTATGGAAGAGGAAATAGTACAGTAAGGTTAGGAAACTTGCCCCAACTCAGAGAGTGGAGACAGAGCCAGACAGGCAGGCTCCAGGGTTTAATCATTACATTCCCTGGCTCTCTGGAGGCAGGGATGTCCAGGGAAACAGTAGCTGCTGATTTTTCAAAGAAAAACATTCCCCCAGCTAGTGCCAATGCTCTCCCTCTTGCCATTCCTTTTCCATTTTCTCTGTAGCCTGTCACCTCTGCCACTCCTGCCCACCCTGCACTGTGCACATTCACCAGCTGTCTGGTACCTACAACACTCTCCATGGAGTTCAAGATGGACCCTGATGAACCAGCTTTCCCGAGAGCTGAAGCTGATTCCACAGCCGATCAGCACTTGGAGGTGTTAACTCTTTCTCTGTATCTCCGGAATGCCAATCACATCGAATTACACAGCTCTTTGCTAAATAACATGAACACAATTACTCTGTATCCTTATAAGCACTGAAAATAGGGATGAAGAGCTATGTGTGGTTTTTAGAAATCAACTTTTAGCAGAAACCACTCTACTCTCTGTCTAAGGCACAGATGCAAGTCTTTCCCGAGAAATGTATAATGAGAACCTTGACTGGCCTGGACACACCCAGGTTAGGGAAGAATCGTGCTCTTGATCTTAGATTACAAGGGATTTCACCTTGATACCAACTCTCCCACCGTCGCGGGAGAGCGCATTTCCTTAGAAGGGCTGATTCAGAAGGGCATGAAATCCAAATCAAGATTTTTAGTGAAGGAGCACGGCGTGAGGGGGGTGGTATTGAGGGAAAAAGTCATTGGTTTTCCGAAAACCAGGATCCTTCCCCATTGGGTGCCTGTGTCTGGGCTGGCTGGGTATGGGATAGGCTTCCTGCTGTCAATTGCTCAACTGTACATTGCAGCCTGGGGCCTTCTCAATTGCTGTCAATTGGCTTCTTGGCTCCTGCTGCCTTGGGTGAGCACGATGGGCAGCCTTGAAAGGGTTCTGACATAAAAGCTTCCTTGTTCCCCTCAAAGATCACACGGAGGACTCTAAAGGCAGAGATCAACCTAATTAGAGCCGCCGCGCTCCTACAGTTCAAGGGATGGGAAACCAGAGCTGCCGCCACCTCTTTGGAGCTTGAGGCTTTCCTGTTCATACCAGAAACACCCTTCTCTCCAGCCTCACTGCTCTTTGAAGATATTCTAGCTGCAAAAATAACGAACATCCCAAGCTCTAAAATACTGGGCCCCTGAGCTAATGATTAGAGGTAGAGACTCATTCTCAACCAACAGGGTTCTTGGCTTCTGGGCTCCCCTCTGAAGCTGGGGAGACATTATAGATTCAATAAAACCCTCCACCGAGGACTGAGATAAACTGAAAATGGGCCCCTATATTACACACTTAGCAGCACTGGGGGAATGCTCAAAAAAAAAGTGTCCTAGCTATAAGATTCCTACGATTATTTTTCTGAAGCAGCACCCTGATAGCATCCCTACCTTCATTTGGTGTTAAAACCTCTCTTTAGCTTCTGTTGTCCCAGATCAAGTCCAAATTCTTCAGCTGAACCTCAGCACCTTTTTATGATGTCTCCTCCAGGTTTCCTCTACAGCGCCTCTCCTTCGTCATAACTAACCTTCCCATAATTCACCCCAATTTCTCTCTTTTATTTTAACCCAGGTACCTTAGTATCTTGACATATTCAGTCCTACCCAGACTCCCAAGTCTGCCTTCAGGACTCATCCTACAAAATGCTTTCCACCTACCCTCTCTCCATGGCCTCTGCTCGCCAATCTTGCAGTTATGAGACCCTAAAGCATCGCATACATGGTGCAGCTTGCCATGGACTTGACTAGAAGCTCCCGAGAGAGGAACTGGCCCTTTTGCATCTCCAGTCCCCTCCCCCTGTCTCAGAGAGTCCACAGAAGATTCCAGCTGACAAATATTTACAGAACGGATGAATGATTAAACAATAGCAGGCAAAAAAGAAATCTCTCAATTTCTGTGAACTGCAGAGCTCTGCAGAAAAGTCTATCCTAGAAAAGAGTGCAAAAGGGCAGTTTTATTAGCATATTTTGCAGAGGATAATTTAAGTGACACATCTTCCAAACCTGAAGGCCCAAGATAAGTTTCCTGGTTCCTGGTAGACATGATAAAAAGGATATGCACGCAGTCACCCTTTCACTCATTTATCCATTCCTTCAACTGAGCACCTCATGTGCCAGACAAGGGGCTGGACACGTGGGATACAGAGGTGAATGAGCTGGGTATGATCACTGATTTATGGAAATTCTGTAAGGTCTGTTTGGAGAAAGAGACCTTTCTATTTGAAAGGAAAGCTAATAATAACAGATTCACAGAGAACAGGCCTCAAGAACTTATTAGGACTGACTGGGACTTGAGTGTTAGGGAAGACAGAAATAACAGCCTTCAAATAAACCTGATAAAGAATCTTTTTACACATGGTGGTGAGTAACCATTTGCCCAGAGAAATGATGACAGGAAAGGAAGTGGAGACAGAAACAGCAGCAGGGATCCCAGTAAGATCTCAAATAGTCTCCTATGACAGCAGCAAAAACTGTGATTTCTAAAAACCGGCCTGAAAGGAGGCCACAGTTCCACCCTCTACCTTCAGGAGCGGCTGGCAGCAACCTGAGGTAACAGAAAGCTGAAGGAAAGTTCTGGACCACTCCCTGTCATTTAAGGTCCCAGAAATGCTGTGGTGCAGGACCAGGTTCAGACCAACCATGAAACCTTGATTTCATGACCACGAGTCCTGGCTCCCATTATCTGGAGAATGGGGTGATTACTGCCACCCCCCAGGATTACAGGAAGGATTAAACAAGATGGTGTACTGTGCCATACTTGGTACATGTTGGCATAAAGTCTATACAAAAATGTCTGCAAGAGTTAGGATGAAGATACTGTCATTCTTAATTCAGCTGTCACATAAAGACTGAATGGGATAATCTTCAAATGCACATTATCTGATAAGTAATATTACTGATAAGTAATACTGTGTAATAGATCATTGTTTACTTATATAAGAATATATCCATTTGTATCATATGTTAACATAGTATATTAATTACTCAACAGTACAGTAAATCTTAATGTCACTGATAGGTTCCTGGAAACCAAGACTTTATGCAAAACATAATGCAAGCAGGTCCTGAAAGAATATCATTTCATTTAACAATTGCAGGGATTTCATTTTTTTTTTTTTTACCATCAATGTTATGAGGAAAATGAGCAAATGATGTTATTTGAGGACCTCCTATGCCAGTTTGCATTCATTGTGTGCTGTGTGCCAACCCTATTCTAAGCAAACACAGATATTAACTCATCGGGCCTCACACTAGCCATGTGAGGTTCTGGTATGTTACTTTACAGGGGAGGAACTAAGGTGCAGAGAGGAAGAGTTGTGCCCACATCACACAACCAGAAATTTACGGTGGCGGGAACCAAACCCAGGTGGCTGGGCAGCAGAACATGCTCTCTTGCTGCTACAACACCAGAACATCATACACACCACCCTAAAAGCCCAGGCCCTTGAACTCGCCCCCTCCCACCGCAGTACCCAGACGCCACTGCTCACAGTCAATTACCTCAAATCTCCTTGAAATCTATCTTGAACCTATACTGTACGCCTCCTTAACACTTCAGCATACCATTTCTATTTTCAGCCTATAAAATTCCCATCTCCTATTGTGTAAAGATCTCTTGATCACCCCAAGACACTGTGCTTTGCCCAATAAGAGGAGCCCCTTATGTTGGAATCTGGTCAAGGAGTTCATAGTCCCTTACCCACAGGGGTTCTGTGTCTATTCCTAGCAATGTGCTGCTTTTGAAGCCTAAGGAATTACAGTGTTATAAAATTATGGCAGTGATGCTCTTGACCTTTACTTCCATGAACCCAAGTCATAATTTCCAAACTCTGTTGGTGGTCTTGGGCTCTTGGAACCCTCCCCGGCTTTGGAACAGAAGTTCTGCTTTTATCACTATATATTCTTAGGTTTCATGTAAAGTTTCATTTGAAAAGGGGTCTTGTTTAAAAGATGTTTGAAAACCATTAAAAAATCCTAACATATTTGGAATTATTGAACATATATTAAAGGACTGCTTAGAAACCACTGGTTTCAGTCCTTGCCTTTCCTTGGGGTGGGAAGTGAAGATCAGGCAGGAAGACAGTGTCATCTCTCTGTCCCCATCCCTGCCCTGGTCTTTGTGACACCCCTCAGAACTCATTCAGAGCACAGACAGGATGCTGATGTCAAGGAGATTTTTACCTTGACTTCCCAGTCTCTCACTGTAATTTCCATTTGACCTTTCTCCAACATAGAACATTCTTACCACTATGGGTGCTTTGGTGATGGGAGAGCTACAGAGACCACCCCTGAGGCGAGAAGTCTTATGCTATCAAAAATGACGTAAAACAAGGGTACTTCATTAAAAAAAAACTCTATATCTCTAGTTCTATATGTATGTCAAAAAAGAACATTATTACCTCAAGAACAGACTGACTCTCTCGAGTGTCCATGACAGTGCATGCTTTAGAATTCCTACAAGCCATTATCCAGTTTCTGGAGTCTTCCAAAGCAGAACAATAACCACAGAAATATAGCAAGCTCCTAAGTGTTTACAACAGCCTCTCAGGTAATGGGGTGTACACACAGCAAAGACAGAGACCTCCGCTGAGCCTTACCTGCTTTTCAATGAAGGCATTGATTCTTTGCAGCATTCCCTCACATGTAAATTCATATGGCATGTATGGCTCAATCTGAAAAGACAGAAGATAGTATCATGAAAGAGGGGGCCACAGGACATGTGACACTAGTCCTCACTGGTGCACTCATGCACAGATGCTAACACCTGCAGGCAGCCCATTGGGGGGCTAAGACTTGAAGCTGGAAGTCAATAAACCTGGATTCACCACCTCATCATGCTCCTTGCTAGTTGTAGTACCTTGAGCAACCTATCTACCATGTCTGAGTCTCAAGATCATGTGTAAAATAGCAGGAAGCAAAACTCGCATCTTTTAGCTGTGGTAAAGTTTATGTGGACAAAAGGTGAAGTGAATAGTGCAGTGTCTAGCACACAGTAAATATGCAACAAAAGGTGGAAATATCACTTTTAGAGGAAATCTCCCTGTGCAGGCTTCACAGCTGTCTTTGTATCTTGGTGCTGAGTGACATGGGGCACACAGGGACTTAGCCATCATGTGCTGAATGAAAGTATACCCACTGCTCTCAGACAGCCCAGGATGAGGAATCCATGACAGTGGTAAAAGTACTGGTGTGTGTTAATAGGTGAGGTTTGCACACACTCAAAGTGTGAAGCAAAAACAGAAATAGAAACTGCCACAAAGGATTCAGCCAGAGGATCTTGGGAGGCTAGAAGGCCCAAGTCAACTGCTGCTCATGCTGGGCTTTTAAGGCCAGCTAAGACTGAGGAGGGTCAAGAGGTGGGAGATGTTCCAGGTGGAGCAAACAGTGGAAAAAAGTCATGAAATAGGATGGCAGGAGAGTGGAGATCAGGACTGTGGAGGCTGTGAGATAAGACTCAATGGCTTTTCCTAAATGTCTTGACATTTCTATGCTGAGGAGCCTAGACTTTATTTGTGAGTAGCAGAAAGTTTGAGAAGGTGCTTTTGTGGGATAGGGGAAACAATCTGATTAATATTGTGACAGCTGAGTTAAGGGGAAGCTACTGGCACAGTTCTTGTGCCAACAGTATGAACCCAGCACTTTCAGGAGCAGTCAGCTAGCATTACCAATTTGAAATAGAAGTCTTGCTTGGGAGAAAGCCAAGTCTATTAGAATTTCAGAGAGCCCCAGGGCACCTACCAGCCATAGGATGGAGGGAATCTTCACTATCTTGCTCTTAAATCTGTACTTGACTAGCTTAAGTTTATAGGATAGAAACATCTGAGTTGAGGCCTGATAACAATGGGGCAATCAACAGAAAAGAGATCTTTCTGTGGGCACCAAGCAGTTGGTATCAGGGATTTGCTCTCATGTGTTCGTGTATTTATACATTGCATTTTAAATTTTCTTTAACATTTTTAATGTCATAATCTAGCTTCCAATGTGCAATACCAGGTGGGCATCACAGAGGTCACAACTCAGACATCCATTTCCACATCCATCCAAATAAAAAAAGAGATGGAAATGCCTGCTTTGTAATATCAGGGCACAACTATTCTGCTGGAACAGAGATCATTCTGTTCCTAGATAGTTTATCTCTGAAGAGTTCAGAATACCTTGGAAAAACTGACTTCTATGTTCTAAACTTGCTCCTTCTTAAGTTTTACACTTGCTATGCCATCTCTGACCCAATCATAGCCCTTCCCACCAAGTGCAAAATTTTCCTTTTCTTTAAAGGATATTTATATACTCAACTATGGGTGAGTACACAAGTTTTCTCTAACTGTCCTAGAGATACGGTTCCTCCCCGAAGTTTATAAAAGAAGACTTGGCATATTGGACTCATTTATAAAGGAACAAAAAAAATTCTAGAGTGAAATAAACAAACATTAGTGGTCAGCTGGGATGAGATCAACAGATCCAGTTATGTGGTGGGAAGGAAAGAGATTTCTGGAGGGTCATTCCTGCAATGTATTCCTAAGAGCATCCATTAGAAATGGAAGTAAACTAAAGGGCTCAAAGCAATAAATATTGAAGAATGGCTCTTCCTCTGTTCTCTTACCAACCAAATCCAGTTTAATCAAAGAGATGATGACTCATTAATTGCTTTGTGCCCAGCTAACTGTTTTAAAGGATATGACGCCAAACAATTTTCCTATAAAGGAAACCCAAATAAAGGAAATTATATTCTTAAACCATGTCTGTTAGTGAGCGCCACCATTCATCCTGCTGTGGACAGGAGCAAGGCCCTCTGTATGGAAGTTTCCACACCCTGAATGCAAGGATTAAGAGTACTGCGCATGTCCCCGTGTGCAGATTGGGGGCTTGTGGCAGTCCTTCCAGGAGTAGTCAAAGTCCCTTGGGGTATTTAATGAAAAGAATGCTCAACCACATCCAGTCACTGAGAAAGTGGAATCAGTCATGGAAAAGTGGGGCGTGTTCTTGTCTAATTTTTGTGAAAAAAGGACTGTGTCACTTGCATGGCCACAGGAAGAAACCTGCAGGCTGCATTGTGGAGTTGCTGCAGGCTTTGGAAAACTTCCATTTTCTTCCGGTCTCCACTTTACCTCCCTTCTTATGGAATTTCCATTTTTCCACATTATTCCTGTAGGGAATTGCTCTCAAAGATTAGCTACCGCTCCATGATCCCACCTGCAGAGGCATCATTCAGTGAGAACATCTTAGCAGGTGCCAGAAGACTGGGACACCGGGCTCCTCAATTTACTAGGTCATGTCATTCCTCCGCTCAACACTACCCATCATACTTAGATACAATATAGAATCCTTATCAAGGCTTGTTTAAAGGCTTACACATTTTGGCTCCTGCAAAACCTTTTATGGTCTCTGTTATTACTAAAGACAAGTTGGGGATCTTTTATATTATTCTTTCCCTCGATGCAAGAACATTTTCTTTTCTGGCTAGTCTTAAGAACTTTTTCCTTATCTTTTGTCTTCAGTAGTTTGGTTATGATGTACCTGAATGTGCTCTTTTTCATATTTATCCTGCTGGGTGTTCACTGAGCTCCCAAGAGCTACAGATTTTTGCCATTCATAAATATTAGACAATTGTTAGCCATTATCTTGTCAATTATGTTCTCTGGCCGTTTTCTCTTCCCCTGAGATTCTAATTACACATAAGTTGGGCTCATACTGTTCCACAAATCTCAAATGCTTTTTTAAAAATTTCATTGTTTTTCCTCTTTATGTTTCAATTTGGCTAATTTTTATTGACAAGTCCTCAAGTTCACTGAAAATTCCCTGTCTCGTACAGTCTGCTGGTCAGTCCATTGAAAGAGTCCTTCATTTGGCTGTTTTTCAAAAGCCATCTATCTCTCTGCTGAAGTTCTCCATCTTTTCACATTTGTTGACTACCTTTATTGCCAAATCTTTTAATTTTTCTTAACATGTTAAGGTTGCTGTTTGGTCATTCTAACATCTGGGCCACCTCTAGGTCTGGACTGATTGGCTTTCCTTTCTTACTGATGGGCTATGGGTTGCTTTTTGGTCATGTAACTCAAAATGTTGTAATTAAATGAGAGAATTTGGCACCAAATTTCTGATGCTCTTCCAATAGTATAGGGATTTAATAGTTTTTGTATTAATCTCACTGCTTACTCTGCCTCTCTTTCCTACTCTTAACTCTCCTTTATTATACGATTTTTCTTTTTAAACATCTTTATAGGTCCAAAGACCTGCTTTTCAATGTAGGTTCCACTACTTACTGGTTGCCTGATCTTGGGTAATTTCTTTAAGTTTCAATTTTCTTATCTATAAAATAAGAATAACAGTTCCAATCTCACAGAACTATAGAGGCTTAAGTAACACTTAGAAAGATGTATCCATAGATTCTAGAGGTGAAAAAAAGGTCATTCCAGATATCATATACTATTATAATCACATTTTTTAAAAGTGGCCTTAAATAGTTTTTGGAATAAGGGTGGAAAAGGTTGATCAGGGTTTTAAATTTACAGTGCTAAAGTTTCAGTGGCATGAAAACCACCACCTCATATAAGAGGAAGCAGACAGAACCCAGAGTCCCACCCTCAGGGCTTATGTATCAGGCATTCCCATTAGACCTCTATTTGATAAGAGGGATCTACCTAAAAGGGATTTATTTACCTAAAAACTTTTGGACTTCACAATCCAAGATTTTCTGCTTCTACATTAGCTTTGAAATCAGTCCTCTTTAAGGGGATATGCTCTTAAGTGTGGGCTGAACTGTGTCCCCAAAAGATATGTTAAAGTTCTAATACCCTGTAACTGTGAATGTCACCTAATTTGGAACAGGATGTTTGCAGATTTAATCATGCTAAGGTGAAGTCACCTGCATTAAGGTTTGCCTTAATCTTACATGTCTGCTGTCTCTTTAAGCAACAAAGACAGACAGACACATACACAGGCAGACTAGAGGCAGAGAACAAAGTGCAGCGGTTTACAGTCAAGGAACAACTGGGGCCACAAGAAGGTGGAAGATCAAGAGAGACTCCTCCACCAGAGGCTTCAGAGGGAGCGTGGCCTCAGCAACATCTTAACATTGCACTTCCAGTTTCTAAAACTGACAGAGTGAATTTGTGTTGTTTAAGTCACCACACCTGTGGTTCTGTTAAGGCAGCTAAAAAAGAATCTTTGCTCTCCACAGCAATGACTCTGGGGGTGAAGCTTTGGGGGTGCCACAGATATGCTGGGTCAGCCGTGTGATGCCAGGCTCAGTACTTCTCCTAGCGTGGTCACCAGAGGTCTAGGGTACTTCTGCCTGAAACTGTTCAGACTGGGATTCAGACATTATTAATGGCAGCTCTGAGCAACTACGCCAAAGCTCTGCCAGAATCTCCAAAAATGGGGCAGGACATGCACAGTATGTGGGAGTGCTCCTTCCCCTGCAGATGCTCCTGATAAGCTGAAATCGGAACACAATTCATCTCCCATAGGAAAAGGAAAGAGGGCTTTTAACATGGGCCCCCCGGTTATTCCTCCCCAGCCTCTTCCCCTTTACTCACACTGTGCCATCAGCGCATGCCCTCCTGGCCCCACTTCTCAGTTAAGTTTTGCAGATTCCCACTCACCCTTTAAGACTTAAGTCAATGCTGCATTCTCCAGAGAGTCTTCCCCCACTGCCACTCCTTAATCTTTTGTATGTTGTTATAAGCCCTGAACATACTATTTTATATTCTGCTCACTTGCAAACATCTATTCCCGCCTCCGTGTTTCTCATCCATCTGTTAGGTAAATCACTATGCTAGTTACTGAAAGTACAGCAGTGAGACAGATATATTTTCCTGCCCTCATGATGCTTATAATGGAAAACCAGACTATCAAAAACAAAAATAATATATATTGCTAATATTGACTAGGCGCTACGCAGAAGACACTGTACCTAAGCACTTTATATTCAGTATGTCACTGAATCCTCACAAGTGCTCTGTTAAGCAGAGACTAGCGGAATATATGAGAAAAAAGGAAACTGAGGCACGGAGGCTGAGTAACTGCCTGAGGGGATGCTGCTAGTAAGAGAACTGAAACCGAAAGTTGTCTGACCCCAGCCTGCCCTTCCGACCACAACTATATTGCTTTTCGTAACAAACTTCAAGAGTGTAAAAAAAAGTGTTCTGCTAGGGAGCAGGGAGCACTCAATTGAGCTGAAGGCAGTTCCGGCGTTGGGAGACAGAATTCACTTAAGCTGTCCCCAGGGGTGTAAGCATCCTACAAAAAGGGAGTTATTAGCCTTAACTACATTTATGGAAATAAGCATCCCTTACAGAGATGTCACTCACACAAAATTCTATAAAGTGTTTAGGTAAAAAAAAAAAAAAAAAAAGATGCTGTAAAAATTTTTTCTCAGTATTTCCTTAATACTTTCTCACTTTTTTGGAGGAGAGCAGACCCATTTTCTTTGATCTTGGCGAGTGATACATCACTAAGTGACAGAAGCAAGTATAATTCAAACTCTTCTTCCTATGTCTGGGCCCGCAGGGTCATGCCAGAGGGTCTGTGGAATCAGCAGACACATCTGCACACTAGCTCTGTTTCCATTTCACAGAACATCCACGAAATCCCCAAGTCAAACCCAACAGGTTGGCCATTTTCTAATTCCAGAATTAAAACAGTATGGACACATTCTAATTAGTCAAACACGGGGCCTGAGATGCTTCCTGAAAATTCCAGTTCACATTACAAATGGGGAAAGCTGGAATAAAAGTAACCACCTTTTGACTTAAAATCGCTTTCACGGCATCTTCTACTTCTTCCTGGTTGTTGAGGTCAACAGTCCAAACATGTGGTCGGCCGATGAAAACTTCAGCATAAGGATGCTGGGATGTCAGCTGAGAAGAAAAAACACAACACCTCAATCTCACAAACACGGCTTTTTTTAATTAAAAAAAAAAAAAAAGACTGTGCTAGATGAAACACTATGCTTTTTAAGGTACAAGTGGTAATTACGAAGGTAATAAGACATTTTTGCCTTCTCCTTGATCCAAACCTCCTAAGTGCCCATGAGCAGATAATAATGATGGCTCGAGTCTCCCTTGAAAAGAAGAGCTATAGTGTCATATCCGGGTGATGTGGAGGCCATGACAGCTGGCTGCAACCCCGAAGTCACAATGAGCATTTACTCTTGACCATATCCCAGTCATGAAAAATCACCTTGATTAAACTATTATTTGTTAAAAAATATTGGTTAAGATAGAGAGAAACACAGGGAAATTACAGTAAAATCTTTACAGATTTTAAACTCATAGGAAGACATAAAGGGGGACAGAGAGAAAAAAAAACATTACCAGTAAAACAGAGCTTTCAGAATAATCGTTAGCCTAACATTGGCGCCTTGACATTTATAAAGACAATTTGCAATCAGACAAGCAAGGAAAAGTTTTCGTTGTAAAGGAAGTTTCATTTTCAGATCCAAAGGTAGTCAAAGAAATGTAGTATAAATACTGGTAGTTTTAGTTTTTGAGACTCCATTTTCTAGGACAGCTAATTTTACTCTATAAGCTTGTTTCTTCCTTTATCCCCATATGCCGTCAAGGTCATGGTATGAAGGGGACATTCTGGACATTTGTGAGAACGTTCCCAGTTTTCAAAAGGATGGGGGCGGCTGCTCTTATCCCGTGGTGGGGGCCAGGGATGGCAGACACATGCGTGGCAGTCCTGCACAGCATCCAGCTGTTCAGTGCCCAGACAGCTTCCAGATGCCTTTCTGGGCTTCTGTGTAGGCTCAGAGAATCTAACTCTTCAGCACACTTGTAATACACACTGACCTTCCCAGGAACATTATTACTGTGTAAATCAAGGGACACTTGAATTGTTTTATTTGGCACATCACTATTACCACTTTAGGAACAAAGTGGCAGCAAAGTCACTATCCCTCAGATGATGTGTCTCTAGCACCACATCCCCACATTGGTCTGTATCTGCAGCTATCCAATTAATGGATTCATGGGTGTATCCAAATACATGTGTGCATAAGTATAGGTATTTTCACATTTAGCCCCTCTTTGATAATGTCAATTATAAGCTAAATGGGCTGGTCAAATTAAGCTGAATGTTTTACTGCTCTTAAATACAAACTTGTTCATTACAAGGAGGAAAGAGACATCATGATGTCTTCTAGTTAGTTCTTGGGTGTGGTTTATGGTTTGAGCTGCACATATACTGAGACATATGTTACCTTATTATAAATTATTTTGCTTTTATATCCCCTTTACTACTAGGGTTAGGGAATCATCCTCTTTTGAAATCATGTGCATAAACAGGTAGATGCTCAGTAGAGGGTAATAAAAGGATGTGTTGGTTGGGAGGATTCAGACCCTTGCTTTAGTGGCTAAGCTGGCTCTCTATTTTTTCCAACTCCAACATACTCCGAGGACCGGGTGATTTCACAGGTACCCTGCTATCTCGCTCTAAGCCCTATTCTTCACAGCCTACCACATCAATGGTGTGTGAGCACTTCTCAGGCTGGGAAGCCGAGAGCAGACGTTATGGGGCCTCAGCAGTGAGTCTCTGCTAGCATCTGATGCGAGGCTGCAGGTGTCCTAGATTTGGTGCCTGCCTCCTGGGCCAGAGCCCCGCTCCTTGATGGTCTGGCTCAGTCCCTGTTCTTCTGATATATGCTCATTTTCTGTGCTTAGTCCTCTGGCCAGTGATGGGACCTCGGATGCCCACTCACTCTTGGGGCTGGAGAACCATCCAATTTTTTCCCCTCTCAGCAGATATTTTAGATTCAACACATATTGAAGCCTCTAGCTGAGCCAGGCACTATGCTCATTAAATGCATATAGATGACAGGTTTCCTGTGTATGAATGAGGATTTGGAGGTTTAGAGGAGTTCACAATTCCTCAAGACTATAGAGTCTGGAAGTAGCAGAGCAAATTCAAATCAACATCTTTCAACAACTTATTAGTTTAGAAAGTGACAATTTTAAAGGATGCTATTGAGTTCTTTAGGTAAAGGCCAAAAAAGGCCCAATATAAACACATGCCTCTTAATCACTCTCTAAAATTTACCAATCTAACGAAATTTCCAATCCTGAATGTATGTCTGTCAGATTTTTTTTCTGAAGGTAGGCAGAATAGTATATAGCATTTTCTTTTTATGAATTGGTGAACTAGCTAATTCTTCCAATGGAATCAGGGTCAATTAAGGTTGCCATCAATATCACTATTTATATATTAGCAGTCTCTCTCCCCTTCCCTTAGAAGGTCCTACTTATTTACAAGGTTGCTGTAGGCACTTAGAAAATACAAAATGCTGAGCCATTATCATTTTATTCATTCACATTTTGTGAGGTTACTTAATTTTACGAGACAGACATTTTGTGATTCATTATTCCCCCTGTGAGTGTTATGTTCTTTCTTGTTAATTTATTGAGAACCGCCTAATCTGAGCTACTTCATTGTATATCAATCAGTAAATTTACTGGAGTATAGTTTGTAAAAGTAATGGAAGTCTTATTAAATATGAGACATTACTTCTAGCAGCTATTAAATCTCGAAGGGGAACATGAGTTCTCATTATGGAAAGAAACCCTTAAAACTAGAAAAGCTAAAAATTTCTAATGGTTTACAAAATGTCAAAATAATGATCAAGAATCTATTAATATATTTCCCAATATAAAGATAAAAATGCAGTTTATATTACATTAAAGTACAACTTGAACCGACCATATTACTCAAAAGTATTAGGGAACTTCTCCTTCTGAGTACACTGTAGTTCTAAAAATTGGTCCAGTGCAAAAACAAAACCAAAACTAAATCGTATTTTAAAATCTATACTTTTTCTTCTCTTCCAATGAGACTCTTTAGAAGGGATATATATGCACATTCTATGGATCTATTGTTGCTTAACAGGAAAGACCTGATTGGCTAAAAAATAAATCTTTGTAATTACATAGACTTTGACTAAAATTTTCCATTTGGACCAAACTGGTCCAACCACTATGAAGAGCTGTGTGGAGATTTCTTGACCTACTAAACATAGAGCTTCCATATGATCCAGCAATTCCACTCCTAGGTATTTACCCAAAGGACACAGAAACAGTAATTCCAAAGGGCACCTGCATGTCTATGTTTATAGCAGCTCTGTTTACAATAGCTAAGCTTTGGAAACAACCCAAATGCCCAAAAACAGATGACTGGATTAAGAAGATGTGGTACATATACACCATGGAATATTACTCAGCAATCAAAAAAGATAAACAAATGCAGTTTGCAGCAACATGGATGGAGCTAGAAGGGATGATGCTCAGAGAAATAAGCCAGAAAGAAAAAGAAAAATACCGGATGGTCTCACTCATAGCAGGAATTTAGAAAACCTAAATAAGGGATCAGGAAAAAGACTAATCAATACAAAGTAAAAATCAAAATCAACAAGCAACTATAAACCAGAGACACACTACGCAGGGGGTGGGGGTTGGGGAGGAGCGGGGAAAGGAAGGACTAGAGTCAAAATAAGGGGTGGGTGCAATTGTATGGGGAATATAACCAAAATGAAAATGCATACATTGTGCAAAAATGAGAAATGATGTAAGAATTATATAAAATAAAATAATTAAATAAAAAAAATAATATTGACCTTAGCTACCAAACAACATCCAGGAAAAAAAAATTTTTTTCCATTTGCTGAAAAGAAAAAGAGACAATTTTGAGGGGGATTGCTGACGCTTAGAAGTCTCTAGACAGCTCTTTTCTGATTAAAAGCATCTTTGGTTAGGGGGATTTAGTAACTTTAGTGAGCTCAAAGAGAGAATGGGGTGGCCCACGTGACTGTGAGGCCCAGTTCATGAGCTTTTTCCTAGAGCCACTTGATGTTATGGCTTCCAGCCTGCTCTGTGCATCGTCTCCAGCAGAAAAGATGGACGTCAGTGGATCCTGCCCTCCAGCACAAAGCAAACTGACCTTTGAGGAGTTTCTCTATCACTTATCAACCTTCACACCTCTCCTCCTCTTCCTGTAAAGCACACACCTCTTTCACCCATCCCACCCTCTTCTCAGCTAACCCAGCACATTTTCCACCTGGCAGAGCTCCAAGCTAACTTACCCTCCTTATTTCACTTAGCTACTTCTTTATGCATTTCCTTTTATTATGCATGTTTTATCACCCTTTCATATAAAATTCTGAGCTTCTGGAAAGTAGGAAATGTGTTGTGATCAGTTGCCCTGATGCAGCAAGTAGCACTAGGGAGCCTGAGGATACACAATGAACATCTGTCCACTGACCTTCAGTATCCTGGCCCTCCTGTGGGAGCCTAGGACTGATGGAGTCATCTGTGTGAGGTCACTTGCCATTCTAACTAGAGTCTCATTTACACTTTGGTGGACTCATCTGAAGGGACAGGAGGGGCCTAAGTGGCAACTCCAATGCATCTTCTCTTTTTATGCCATGAAGAATAGAAACTCTATGATCTCAATAAAAGCCAATGACTAGATGATGACCATCATCCAGTAAACATCATCTAGGAAACAATGAACATACTTTTCTCAATAATTTCATACCGGCTGTTCTGATCTATGTAAAATTATATCATTCACTGGGAAATAGAATGTATTTAAAAATTCCAACAAAGGGGGCAATGGAATGATGGATAGAATTGGACGTTCAGCAGTTAGCTAAATGTAGTATATACACATGCTAATTCTCAGCGATCAACACCTAAAACTTATATACGCTATTATGCAATGTACTTCAGTTAAAAAGAAAGTGCCTTAAGGAAAAAGCATTTTGGTGGTGTGTGCGATGTGATAAAATACATTTGAAGTGGTGTGAACCTGTAACTCCTCAAACATTGGTGATGTAGATCAATGTTACTTCAAATAAAAGAAACCCCACAAAACCAAAATTGGATTGTAGCAAGGTGTCATCTTAATCTTTAAAATTATCAGTAATAAGGTGTCAGTTGCCAAGGTACTCTAACCATAACCATTAACCTTTTCCCAAAAATTTGTATGCAGTAATTCCAGTAAGAGATGGGTTTCTTTCAAAAAAAAAAAAATCATGAAGAGGAAACAGAAAATCATCATTAGAACATAACAGTAATAACAGTTGCAGGCAAGATCCACTGATAAGTTGGCAAAAGTTTGAGACAGGTTATTTGCATAGTCTCAAAGAATTTCCCTTGATATAAGGGAAAATAGCAATTGCACATATACTGGGACATATGTTACCTTACTGGAAAGTATTTTGCTTTTATTTACCCTTTCTCTTAGGGGTAGGGAATCACCTCTTTTGAAATTACGTATGTAAGCAGGTAGATGTGAAAGATCTAATAATAAAATGAGGAATTGGGTTGGGAGGGCAGAATCCCTTGCTCTGGAGGTTAAGCCGGCTCCCTTTTTTTTTTTTTTTCCAACTTCAACATACTCAGAGGACTAGCAACTGTTATAGCAGTGGAGAAATGCAGCATTTAAACCTACTGTCTTAATCAAGTCATCAAAGTTACTATTACCAGTCACAAAACACAGTGATATCATCCATCCCCTGACATAATACCCACAGAAGGCTATATCACATCTGTAATATTCTTGCCAAAAACTAATTATGAGAGATCAAACATTTAAATTGAGGGATAATATATAGGAAAAAAAACCTGAACAATACTCTTTTAAAGTGTCAAGGCTATGACTGACAATGAAAGATGGAATGATTGTCATAGATTAGAGGAGATAGTGGCAATTGAATGCAAAGTGGGATCCTGTATTAGATTCTGGAACAAAAGAGGGTATTAGTGGTGTGTCTGATGTTTAGATAGTACTATGGTCCTGGTGATACTTTCTTGTCCATAATAATTGCCCTGTGGCATTATAATATATAACATCAAAGGAAGCTGTGTGAAGGATAGATATACCCAACTCTGTACTATTTTTGCAACTTTTCTATAAGACTAAAGTTATTTCTAAAGAGACAGAAAGTAAACCCCAACAATTCTACTTGTAGGTATATACCTCAAAGAACTAAAAGCAAGAACTCAATGTTCACAGCCACATTATTTGTAACAGATCAAAAATGGAAACTACCCAAGCATCCATTAACCGAACACATAAAATGTGGCATAGCCATAAAATGGAATATTATTCAGCATAAGAAATGAGATTCTGACACACATGCTCTACATGAAGGAACCTTGAACACATTATACTTAGTAACCAGCCACAAAGTGCAAGTGCTGTTTGATTCTACTTACATTTGGTTATCTAGAACAGATCTATTTATAGAGGTTTCTCTGGGGCTACGGAGAGGTGGGGGAGGGATGGGGAATTACTGCTTAAACAGAAGCGCTTCTGCTGTGCATGATGAGCAAGTTCTGGAAATAGTGACGATGGTTGCAAAACATGGTGACTGCACTTAATGCCAGTGAACTGTACATTTAAAAATGGGTAGAACAGTTTTATATTTTATGACAAAAAAAGAAGAAAAACATGGAAAATTACAAATAACTATACAATTTGGACAGAAGGAGAACTTCAGTGATCTCCTACATCTAAATTTAAATGCAGGGATGATGTATTAACCTGTATTTTCTACGCTAAACTCCAAAGTTTCAAAGAGTCATATACTAAACAAGCTCTTGAGTGCCAGAATGAACATTTCTGATCTCTGTTCTCTGGCACCTCCCACAGCACCTGACACACAGGCGTGCATGAAGTATGGCTGAGGAGTCACCTCCAAAGAAGAAACCAGGGGCCTCCCTGGTGGTGCAAGGGGTTAAGCACCGCACTATGAAGCAATCCGCAGTCTCTGCAGCACGAGTTCCATCCCGGGCTGGCCAGGGAGCAACCCAAATGGCGCAGCAGACCTCGCCTGACTCGCCCACTGCTCCTCTCAGCAGTGTACTTTGGTCAATCTGCCTGTTCTGTCCCTCGCTCTGTCTCTGGTGAATCCTGTCAGCCCCTAACATCTCTGGCCTGTACCCCAGCTCTTGTATACATAAATCTTAAAAAAAAAAAGAAGAAGAAACCATTCCCCAAAATGAAGGATTCAAATTGATTATATTAGCAGAAAGAAAAAGTCAGCCAGCAAGGAAGCACGTGCACACATACACACAGACATCTCCCCGTGTCAGAGTTTATCTGGGCTACAGGCCATTTTTTTGAAGATAATCTATGGACTTTGCTGATATTCTTCATCTCCTTTGGCCATTTCTCCAATGACAGGGAGGATCAAAGAAAAGATCTCTCAAAATAATCAACCCTGTGAACTGGTAAGATCTCTGACTAGTTCGTAGAGTCACAAAAAATGCACTGTAAATAGTATTTGGGAGAGAAGGGCCAGGAGAATCAACCTAGAAAGTATTAAGTTGCAGAAATGAAAAATACATACCTTAAAAACTGTTGCTGTAGTGCTGCTAGTCACAGCACTGTCACCCCTGGCAGAAGCCCTGTGCTGAGGGCACCGTGACGACGCCAAAATGTATAGGCTTCCTCCTCACCCACAACCCACTCATCGACTACACAGAAACAATAGTAAAATCAGCCTATGGTTTCACGCATACACTTGCTTCTGTCTGGACACAGAAGCATCCAGCTTGGTCATGCACATTCTCTAAATGGCTTCTGTTTATTACCCCAAATGAATCTAACTGCCTCCAATGGTGATTCATCACACTATAGATTTCAAGAGGATCCTGAAGGCAATTCAAATAAGGCTTTGACAAATTGCTTGAGCCATGGCAGGATTACCTCTCAGGATGGCACCTGCTGATGGTTTGCTATAACAGGCACATCACCTTAGTCATCTGTATTATACCTTCTCTCTCAAGGCTGAGAGTTCTTTAAGGAGCCCACGACCCACTTTTTATTGCCCATACCTGTTAACTAGGTGATGACATTATTCCATAAACTCTGAACATTCAGAATATCAGAGTTCAGCTAATTAGAAGACTGGCAATGTTTGTTTGAATTAAGATAGAGTTGGGGTAAAGTGAAAAGATCTCACACTTTAAGGATAGAAATAGATTCAAACTATCATGGCTACTACCCATTTGGGGAATGTAATCAAATCCTTTCTCTCTCTAAGCAGCCCTGCACATTCCTCCCTCCACCCATACTTTCACTCAACTACATCAAATGATGTTGATAATAACTGCTATCCAAGGCCATGAGGCTTAAATGCACTCCCAGCACTCAACAGCTATTATTCATATTATTGCAAGCAAAATGATTTTATGACTGCTTACCTCTCTCAGAGTTGGCTTGCCAATGAAAAAGTCTGTGTTTTTGCTGCTTTTGGGTGGGTTGAACTTGGGATTCAGAAAAGCACATCCATTTGCAATGGCCTCCAAGGGAGCTGGGCCCTCGTAGGGGAACCCAAGTCCAACAAACAGCTGTAAGAAAAGCACATCACATGTAAACACATCAACCAGCACTGGCATTCCTGGCACTTGGGGGCTATTCTGTGCTCCATTCCTGCAGGGAGACCTCAGGGCCCCTGGAAGACTCGCAGGCCCTGTGAGGTGGGGCAAAGAGAAGTCAGCTTACATCACGATCTAAAAAACATGATCAGGGACCTCTTGGGGCTAGTGAAGCTGCTCAAATCATTATGTTTTCCTTTGCTAAAAATGTTAAGAAATAAGTGTTGAAGGGGTGTACAGCTGAGGGGGTAGGGAGGCAGAGGTATTAACAGAATACAAACAACAACAAAACCCAAGACCCAACAATAATCTTTCTGTAACTCACCAGGAGACACGACTGGAAAAACACTTGCTTAACTAAACAGAAGGTTTCTTCATTGAACTAAAGGAACAACAGGGCCTTTCAGTGATGCTGGGTGGAGGGACAGAAAGGTCACTTGGCGGTTTGATTACAGTTCAAATGGAGTGGCTTTAAAATGATGGCAGGTCAGTAAACACAGGTTTTCATAATGGGGTTTTCACCTGGGACACTGACGTCTTGGTTATTTTCCCCTCAAAGAGGGAGAAGGGTCTGCTGAGTCCTCAAATGGGCAAGGCTGCTTTCCTCTCCCACCAGCAAACCACATGTTTCCCCAGGCAGACAATAGATGGCAGCAAAAACACACTCTCCAAGTCCTCCTAGCATTCACAGCTGAGCGTGCCTGTGACAAAGGGGACTTGCTGCAGTTCATTGGCACCAATGATTCCTGGGTCCAAAATGCAACATCTCATAGAAATGCCTCACCGTATAACCTCACCTCCGGCTATTTCACACTGCTGGGGTACTGGAGGTTATTGATGGGCAGGGTCCAAGTCCTGGCATGGTGATATGTGAGAACTCCCCACCCACATCAAGGAGCCAATTCTGAAATGGTTCCAGAACCCAGAGGCACATCAAGTGACAAAGGATAATGGCCCCTGAGCACCATTTTCTTCTGCTCTCATGCTGATGAACACCCACACGGCCAGGCCCTGAGAGTGAAGGATACAGCCGAGCTGGCTATGGCTACATGCTTGACTGTTCTCCCCAGCAATCCTGTCTTTGCAGTTGCTTTAACTGAATGAGTATTTAGAAGGGCTCAGCTAAGGGATTACCAAGTGCAACCTGGCAAGTTCCCTGGGAAACAGCGGAAGGTGCAGAATGTATGTATTCTACTCAACTCCAGTGCTGAACATTGAGCATGGTCCATTCTGGACATACTGGACAGTCATATCACCCCTGCAGGGATTTTTGGGGGAAGAAACTAAAATTTCAGGATTTCTGGAGTGATCCTTTCCTATAAATGTATGTTCTTTTGTATTGAAAGGGGTACTTAACCTTCTTGTGCTTCTAGAAGGATAATTTTTTATTTCCAATGAATTTTCCAACCTTGAGATGACTTCCAAGGCTGGAGTAGTGGTGGTGGGTCACCTGGGAAGAAAGAAGGCTTGAAGAGGCCCGCAGAACTCCCACGGCCTCTTGGGCAGAACCCTAAAAACATCAGGAGAGAGAAAAAATGTAGCAGGAGCTGGGAAGCTGTAGGATATAAGGGGCATCTCACCACCATTTGAAGGCCCTGTTTCTGAATCTGATTAAGTAACTAACAAGAGTGAGATTATCGGAGAAAGGCTGTATATGGCATGCAAGTGGCAGAGGGTGAGGGATGCCTGACAAGAGCAGAAAAAAATAGAAACAGGAGGCACTGGTCCCAAGGTATTCCAGCATCATGAAATTATGAAGGATCCAGGGTTATAGCCTTGAAGCTTCTCATCGCAGTGATCTGTCCCCCACCATCAGATTTCAGGTAAGATGTGCCATCTCTCCAGGGGAAAGAAAGGTAACCTCTCTCAGCATGTGGATGAGCATAGGAAAGCATAGGGCCTCGGGAAATTTTTGATTCTGAGAAGAAAGGTACGGGGAGATACAGATAGGGGCTCCAAGGTTTTAACCATAGATCTGCAGCCCACAGTGTTTCCTGACCTCTAGAAATCAGGGACTGCTGTAAAGGGCTGACACCATCACCAACTTCAAGTTGCAAAAAAGAACTTTGCAGGAAATACAGGAAGCACAATGCTTTGTCTAGCTAAACAGAAAATCCTGGAAAAAATTTAATTAGCTCCTTCAGACCAACCAATCTGAACCCATTAATTAAAAGGATTTGAGGCTGTTGCTTAATGGACTTGAATGTGACCTAGGTTTAATTATATCTGAATAACAATTTGCACCATCTCTTTCTGCCCTGCTAGCGTCAGTACACATAAAATAAACACTTTAGGCTAAGTCTTCAAAGACTCACAATTTTAGAATGAAGCTTAAGCAAATACCACACAATTTCTTGGCAATGAGTTTTCTTGTCACACTAATTAGGATTGCAGGAAATACATTACTTGGAAATAACACCAAAATAACAGTTTTTTTGTCACGTCTGTCAATAAGCAATTTTTTTCTTGCTTCCTCTGTACTCATTACCTGTGACATTAAAATGCAGCAGATGTATTAAGGTCAAAGAGCACACTTGAGGCTTGAATGACAACAGGGTAGGCAGGGAGAGCTCACTACCATGCAAGGGCCTTTGGTACACTTCTGAGCACTCAATGCCTTGCCAAACTCTTGTGCCTTAACCACATTAAATTGCTTCCCCCCGCCCCAAATACTCCACTTCTCCAATCATTCTGCCTACTTACAAATGTCCTTTCACAGGGGCAAAAGACACACAAGAATGCATTCAAGTGCAGAGGCTTAACTCTTCAGGAGGAAACTGGGCATATTTTAGTTATACTTCATCTGGCCTTCAGAAGCCTAGAATTTAATGAGGATATTCCAGATGACGGAACATCTCCATGGTTGCAGCTCTGGCTCCATCAATGAGCAGTTCTAAACAGAGGGATTACATGCTCTAAAATTAAATTTCTGAACTAATACTAAGCAAGAGAGCACAGATGAAGCACCATACGTTTTATTCATGGCACAGGTTCGGGACATTCCTACACATTGACAAAGAGTTTAGTAAAACTCCTCACGTTTTTACTCTGTGTAAAGGGGAAAGAGAATGGTTTAAAACCCCTCTGTGGAGTAGTTAACAAAAAGTCCTTTCAATGTGGATAAAGGTAGCTCTGAGGAAGACTCCATAGATTTGGTCAGTTTCCAGTCACTCTTGAACAGTACAACACGATGAATCAAAATAAAAACACATATTCAACATATACTTTCTGACTAGTCATAATTACGCAAGCTGGTAAGCCAACGTGGCTCAGGACAGCATTTGAGCAAGGAATCAACTTCAGCTTATCCAATAAACTGGTGGCTGGCACTACTGGTCAGAATAATGGGGTGATTAACACCACAGACTCTCGAGTCAGCAAACCAGGGTTCCAGCTCTGACTTCATTATATCCTGGTTCTGCAGCTGTGGGATAGTATTCCACACCTGAGACCCTTTAGTATTCTATTCTGTCCAGCTATGGAGCCTTAATCAAGGTAAAACAAGCTCTCTACCCCTGTCTTTTCATGGGAAAAATAACATTGCTTTATTTCATGGGGTTGCCGTCAGGCTTACACGCAGTATTTCATGGAAAGGATGTATGCCTAGGCTTGGCCCTTTGTAAATGTTCACTAAACAGGAGTTTAGGTTTAAATTCAGATACAGCTTCAGGCAGGTACAAATACAAGATCTGCATTGCTTAGCTGAAGGCTGTGGGTTTTCATAAGGTGTTCAACACCTGCATGTCTACTTAGGCGTTCTCACTGTGATAAAGCACCTGGACTGACCCACAGAAAATTCACTTCCTCCTGCCCTGCACTCTGCTAGGAAAATCCTCACCCTTTTCTTGGCCAGGAATTGAGACAGTTTCTTGGAGGTTTGAGTTCCCATCAACTTGGCTTACCAGTTTTCCAAATAAACCTCAGTTTCCTGACCCCAGACCTTGTCTCTTGTGAATGACTTAGGAGTGGTGAGCAGATGAGCTTTCCTGGCACCAAGAGCCAGCCAATAATCAAGTGTGGGTGGATGAGCATTTCTGTGTGTCAGGTTACTGAACCCTATTTCTATACACTTTTCATTCTATATATAAGTGTGTTCTACACACATTCTACATCATTCTGTAGATGCAAGCGGGTGGAGAAGAGGAGGAGGAATGTGTGTGCATGTACTATTTTTCCCTATCTAGCTGGAAGGGGAGTAATCCTAGGAACTAGCCACTAGGCTGAAACCTGCTTGATGGCCTGTGAGTGAATATTTCAGTACGTGAAATGCAAATGAAAGATGGATTGCTCTATGGGCAAGTAAGCTCTCTGGTTCTCTCTCACAGGGTGTGGAGACATGGGCAACATCAAGGTGTGGCTGGCATGGGATATCAGAAGAACAGTGCCCCTTGCTGTGGAGATCCTGGACTTCTAGATACATGATTCAAGAGAACACAAGGAAATCGCTCCTCCAAGATCCCAGACAGATTTCATGCCAAAATCTCCTTTCTTCATTCTTTATACAATTATCTGAAGGCCTCTACAAGCTAGGCACTGTTGTGGGCGATGGGAATGTATCTGTGAACACAAGTCAAGCTTCTGCCCTCAAAGAGCTGCATGAGTCCTCCTCCACTGTAGGGGAGGTGCGGTTGAGGTTGGCTGCTGTCTCAGCCTTGGGTGTTTGAGAGAGGTTATGCAACCACATCCTAACTCACGGGAAGGTCATGGTTGACAGGGGGTGGGGGTGAGGTGGGGGTGGGGTGGAGGCATGAGGATGGGAAGAGCCAAACCCAAACATACTCCATGTCTTCAATCCTGTCCAGACTTCTAGGTGAGTCCCACAGGTAAGCTGATGAGCTGACATGGTAGAGGAACAAGGTCATGAAGAGCTACCCAGGTGCTGGAGAGGGAGTGGCTGGAAGTTTGGACAGGGAAGGGCTGCAGGCACAGCACAAGCAGCAGCAGCAGCTTTGTCCACAATTGGAATTTGTTGTTACATTTTGTTGTAGAAAGGGTGGAACCTGTTCTGGCTCACAATCCCTCAAGCACTCAAATGCTTCTCCAAACCAGTGCAAATGCCCCATTCAGTAAGGAGTGTCCCATGGGAACACTGGGGGTGGGGAGCACAAAGAAGCTAAAACAGGAAGGTCCAAAAAGAAATCACATTACAAGAGATGAGAATTTAAGTCAAAAAACAAAAGTAGGCCACTGCAGGAGTACTTATTCACTTCAACTACGCCCTCGGAGTTGGCTGGACTGTATCACTTGTCCATGGCCCTTGGATAAATAATTCATTCAAGTTTACATGCCTACTGGAAGAGTCTTCTAGATTCAGTAACTACCACATTCTTTGAGCCCTGCTTTGAGAGCTATGCTGAATTTCTCCTCCCTTTACAGACTCCCTGCAGCCAGTCAGTTAAGGACACCTAGGACCCTAGGGTACACCAGAACAAAATTGAGCTGAGCCCAGGGATTCTTGGACTGGGGGAAGGTTCAAGACAGCTCATAAAGAAAAATAATGAGTCAAAAGCTGATTAAGCATCTATCTTTTTTTTTTAAAGGAAATAGGGAAAAGGTATCCCATGGTGTGTGTGGTTTTTTTTTTTAATATTTTATTTATTTATACAAGCACTGGGTACAGTCAGAAGCGTGGGAGGGTGAGAGAATTCACCAGAGCCAGAGCGGGGAGCAGAGCAGGCAGAAAGACCGAAGTACACTGCTGAGGGGAGCAGCGGGCGGCAGGAGAGGTCTGCGCGCCATGTGGGACCCTCCTGTGGTGGCCGGGGAGTAGCCGGGGATCGAACCGGCACCGCAGAGGCAAGCGCTCAACTGCTGCGCCACCGGGGAGGCCCTAAGCACCTATCATTTCAATAGGTCTGAAACCTCAAGGATGACTCCCTCTGACAGCGGGTCTGGGTCTCGTGTGGACTCAGCCATTCCATAGACATATGCGTCTGCACATCTCCAGTTCTCCACTTCCAATGTGGACTGGAATAAATAGCTTTAAAATTGCTCAGAGATGGAGGAAGGAGTTAGAGATAGCAAGGGATATAAATGCAAAGCCTGACTGGTCTTTAGTGTCGTAATTTCAAAGTCCAAGTCTCATTCATTTTCAGTGTCTCCTGCTGTGTTCTGGATGTGAGGGGCGCCTCCGATATACACTGCCTCATTTTCATCATTTTTGCCAACTGTTTTAGCTGTTAAGTCCACCCAGAGCACATTAATATATTCTAGTCAGATGAGTAGGCAATACAAAATGGGATCAGCGACACCCTCTGAAAGCACCCGCTTTTCAAGGATGAACATATACCCCTTGCACTCAAATTCAAGCTGCAATCCTTCGTTCTTTTGCAATTTTTGACATCATGTTCTAGCCTTTTGGGCTTCTTCTGTCCACCCCTGGCCATCAGGGATCTCAGCTTTGGCCTACTTCCCTTTCTCTGACAGGGTAAATGGATGGTAGGTAAGGGTTCTTTTAAAATTTGCAAGGCTGAGTAAGACATTTGGGAGGTTGGGCTAAGAGCAGCGTGTGAGACAGTAATGACACGCTGCTGAAAACCAGCACTGCCAAATGTAATTTTAAAGGAGTGCGAGCTTTTCCCACAATCTGATGTGGAAAAAGCAAAATGAGGCAAGTGGCAGAAATAGCATTGCCACTAAAGGGCCCAGATATTCTAATGATTCTAAGATGTCATCCTATGACAGAGGACAAATGGAAAGCAACCTAGAGGACTCACATGGCCCCTAGAGCGTCACAACTATCATGGGGCTACAGGTGACCTGGTAAGTAAATAATATCTTAATGAAAACAGACTAGGTCTTTGGCCAAGGGTAAATAATTTAGCAAACTACTACATTCATGATATCACAGGAAAGACTCAGTAGAAATGACCAAGTGCATTTACATACGAGAAACCGAGGCAGAAAAAAATGTATTATTTTTTTGGTTGGTGGGAATCCATGACGTGTTCTGAAGTTTGGGAATTCATTCATGAGGATGGTATGCCCCAGGCCTAGCAGAACTTTAACTTGAATAAAGCAAAAAATCAAGAATTAGGGCCACCTCCAAGTCTTGACCCCAGTAACTATGGACAAGCCAAATTCCCTAGTTTATTTCCTTATGGTTAAAGTTAACAATAACTTCCCTGACTACTGAGAGACAAACAATAGACAAATGGGAATACATTCTGCAGAAATAAAATATCATACAGTGATTAGGAACCACCAAGTATGCCATAGAAGCCCATCCACACAGACTCTCTCCCTCACCTTGAAAACGGAAACACTCGGTCAGGGACCAGAGCAGAACCCGTAACTACTGACCATAAACTACCCTGTGTTTTAAGAAGACACCAAGTACTTGTTTTCTTCACTTTTGTTTGTAATATTCCCCAACGAGAGCTTAATAAACACGAGAGAGCTTAACGAAGTGCCAGTCAATCCTTCCAGACCAAACTCCACCTATATGCAAATCCCCTCATTTCACTGGGGTCTTCCACAGCAGAAATCCACGAAGGATGGAGACCTTTCTTGCTCATTCATCATGTTACCAAAATATTCCTCCAGTGGCTCCCCCAGCTACACCCATAATGTGATCAAGACTCTGTGTCTGTGACTATCAGACCCTTAGCCCTGTAGCAAATCTTATTTTCCATCTTTCCCTAGACTAGCTATTGGTTTCTGGCTTTTGGCTCAATGTATCAATCCACTCCACCTCAATCCACCTCCACCACCTGACTGTCACTCTGCTGTGTCCCAAATGCCAGGTATAGCCACGTCCCACCTTCATCTCTTACATCTTCTTTGATGCCTTCCCTGCTTGTGACCTTGAAGGGATGTTTCCTTCATCTGAACTTCCTCAGGGTCTAGTACAAGTTTTCTGAATATGGACATGCAAGGGAAAGCTAGATGGGAGTCTTACTACTTGAAGAGTGGTAATGGGCAGGGGTCAGTGGTGCGGGGGGGAGGGGGGAGTAACACACCCTGGCTTATTGTGAAAGCTGCTGCTCTATGGAAAGTCTGACCCTCCAAATGGGGCGATTCCTTTTCTCTTGGCCACCGTATCCCCAACCCCATGTGTGATGCCTGGGACAGAATCAATCCTCTGCAAATAAGTTTTAAACTGAAGCAACCATTTCCATCATTCACTAATTTTTAAGCTACAGCTAGTCTAGACAACTACAGTCCAGAAATGACCTTAAGAGCTACTGCAGTATGAGAGATTCTGACCCCATTTTCAAAGCCAATGGAAACAAACCTGTAAAAGACCTCGCTGAGAGATTTTTACAAAATTACTAAACACTCACCTTGGTTTCCCGAAGAAGAAACTGCAAGTCCCGTCCACTGAGGATACCATGGTTTTTCACGTAACTAGGAATATTCTTTGTGCTGGAGCCATAAACAGTTGCATGCACTTCCATGTATGTGTGAATAATGTCCAAGTAGATCTTCTTGTTCTAAAGAAGGAACACAAGGACAAGGCATTTCTCTTTTCATTCTTGTAACAATCTGCCTCGCAGCTGGAGGGCTCAGAGATGGAAGTTCTTAACATGAAAATAGCAGGAATTTGGCAATCTAACCAAAAATTTCTTTCAAAAGTAATCGCAATGGATTCTGGGGGCAGAAACTGACATATTGCTACTGTACAATTTTGCAAAAAGAAACATATAGCAATGTATTACTGAATACCAGTGATAGCTCAAGGCCAATTGTTGTGAAGTAAATTACCAGAGATCCAGTGCTTTGCTCTTGTTCATCCTCCTTACGGGGGAGGAAGTTTGGGGAAGCTCAGAGAAGGCAGTCAGTTGGACTGGAATATTTATTCGGAGATGCTTAGCTGTCCCTGAGGAATATAAACATCCCCAGCTCTTGCCAATATTTCTAGTGATGATTAACTCATGTTGTCAGAAGTGGATCCCACCTAATTCAGATCATGGGAAAATGAGTTTCCCACAATATCCTAGACTGACTAGGCAGCTCGAGAGAGGAAGAGAATACCCACCCAAGTAGCAAAAGTAGAACAAAATAAAATGTAAACTCTGACAAGTCCTGAAACCTTCAAGAGTAGTTTCACTTTCTCTAAAACCACTCCTCTGTGCAGGCACGAAATTTGAGGCATGATTCCTAAATCCCAATCATCTTCGAAGTGGAAGGAAGATCACTTTCCCTTCGACCTGTTCTCTATGACTAAGTTGCACAATCTGGATTTTGCTGTTGCTTTTTATTGTTGTTGTATATTTGGAAACTGTTGTACATTTGAAAGATTCAGGTTCTATAGTTTCCAGCTGCATAAAGGTGGGACAGGCCTCATTAAGCACACCCCAAGCAAATGTAACCATGGCCAGTTTGGGGACTTAACTAAGGGACCCGGGGTATGACATCAGCAGCCACGGAGGGCAGAGGAGGGAGCCCCCTGTGATGAGGGCAGCTCAAGGGACAGCAGCACTTCGAGGCTGCCCTGGGGCCAGGGCCTCACTCTGACTTAGAGAGCAGCTCCTTAGGGCACTAGGGGCCTGCATGGGCTCTGCTCTCTGCTATTCACTGCCCTGGTGGAGAATACTGCAGAGGACACTCATGTTCCACGTCACGTATCAAAAAGTTACAGTCTGCATTCTTCATTTTGTGCACCAGAATGATTTTGTTCAGAGCCAGCCACACCCATCTCTGCACCCTAATGGGTGAATGAAACGCTTGGACTGAAACCTTCATTTCCTGCCATGCTTGGTTGGGTTAGATGATGCTAAATTCATAATTTCAGAGAGTATACCCTTGAACTAGTACAGAAGTGACTAGGAGGACTTTACAAATTGTGACTTTGGATTTATAGCTTCAACCAAATTCCCATTTCCCTCAAAGTTAATTTGAGGTGTTCTATGACATAGTTCTTGTGCTAAATGTCCCTGATAACTCCTGTCCCCACACACTCTCTCCTCAGGGATTTTATCTCCACTCATAGCCACCTCCCTGTCACAGCGGGCTCTATAACCCTGCCCCCCCCGTCACAGCTGACAGGCCCAGGGTGTGTGTGTGGCTGTGCCTGGGACAGAGCTCAGTCAATCAGACCCTCTGTTGGGGGCTCAGGATCCTACACACAGAGAGATCATTGCACCTGATCACAAGCTTCAGAGGATGAAGGCCATTCAGTGTTGGGGTCTAGGCAATCATGGCCAGGTACAAATTCTGAGGAAGCCAGCTGCCAGTTTTGGGGCAGTGAAAGTGGAAAGAGAAATAGGTAAGAGTTGAAAGAAAGGAGAGGGAAAGACAGATAATAAGACAGCTGGAATAAGATAAGTTATTAAGAGGGGCTCCCAGAGAGACTGAGACCTAGCTATCACCCTTGCAAGATAAGAGAGGGAGAAAAAAAGAGAAGAGGAACAAGAGAGGGATGAAGAAGAAAAGAAAAAGGAAGAGGCAGAGAAAAGAAAACAAAGAGGCAGACAAGAAAATCCCTTCTGGTCCCACCCTATCCACAGCTGTTCCCCACCCTAAAAATCCCAGGTCTTTCCAGATCTTTACAATTACACCAGCTCCCCCATCTCCTCCACTTTCATTGAATTACTCTGGGTAGATTCCTATCATCCAAAAGGAGACATCTTTCTGGCCTTTCGGAGGGAAGGGGACATTTCCCTGTGAAAAGTCAACTGCTTATTAGCAAAGATGGCCCAAGGGCCATGAACTAGGTCAGTAGAACAGAAGGTAAGAGGAATGGCTCAGCTAGTTCCTTCCTGGAGAAAAACAGCCACTGCAGACAGACTCAAGGTTAGTGTCTGGATATCACTTAGTAAGGTTAAAAACTAAGTCCTCACTCCTTGCTCAGCTGGCAAATTTGGGGGGCTTGCATTGATAAGATTACCATGCAGACGGGCCATAACAGACCATCACGTCAGGAAAAGCCAGCCCAGCCCCAGGAATGCAGAAGCAGGGCAAGGACACCTTCCGTGGCAAAGGCAGCACCTCGACCAGATATCCCAGCAGATAGGTGATGCGAACTGGCACCCCAAGTAATAAAGCTCATGAGACCAGTGTATAAAAGAGAGCCTCAAATTCTTCTACCCGCACAGGCGTGCATCTTCCATTCCACCCCATGCGCCCTTGCAGGGTATTTCAATAAATCTGCCTTTTCTGTTCTCCTTTTCAGTATCTGGTGAATTCTTTCACCTCTGTTCCTCCAGCCTCGCCCTGATATTACACTGCCACAGTTAGAATTTTCAAACCCAATGCCTGGGAAGGAAATAATAAACTCAGATACACATGTATTGCCATCAATTCCAGAAAACATTGTAACAAGGAGACAAGTTTAGGCAAATATAAAGATTTGTAAGCAAGGGCTAATAAAGTCTATGAACTTATTAACATTAAGGCATAATAGTCTGAAAGTATAAATTATCTTCAGAAAGGATTTATGTAAGTTCATGAATGAGAAAATCACAACATGCTATTAGAGGGGGAAAAAATGTTTCAAACAATTCCAACCTTTGAAGTTGACATGACAATTAGGTGATTTCACCCCAGGTCTCTTGTTTCCACTTGTCAGAGTTCTGTAAAAATCTGGTGGAAGTGAAGAATGCTACCTACTGCAGGTAAACATGCCGTAGGAGGCATTAGCTTTAAGGAGCAGTTCTCCATCCTAAGGTTAAAACTCACTGTGTAATGGGTGCTAAGGAAACACAAAGGAGCAAGTCCAGTTCAGGACTGGTGCCTGAATTTTGGGTTCAAAAATTCAAGTGCTTCTTGAACCTCTCCACCAGGGTGTGCCATAGGCACTCCCAACTCAGCAGGTCAAAAAGGGAACCAACAGCTTACTTTCCCAGATCAGCACCCCTACCACCCACTCCTATTTGCAGGGCTTACCATTAATCCCTCAGCCCAGTATCTGCATTGGAATCACAGTTGTTATTCCACACATCAAATTAGCTACAAAGTCCTGTTGATTCTATCTCTGTAATATCAACTTCATCTCCTTCTCTCCAGCCTTGATCCTTACTCACCATGATCATGCCAGAATTAAGTCAACCAATATCTGAATGCATCTCCCTGTGATTCAAAAAGGTGATGTAACTTGTGCAAGGTTTTACAAGTAAGCAGCAGTGTTGGGACTGATGGCAAAAGATTTGTTTGGCTTGATGTCATTTTTAAATCATAAAACAATAAGGACAATGCTCTTACATATGGATACTTGTACCTAAGGACAAAAATATGCAAGGGGATGACAGACACAAACTTCTGAATGTGGATTACTCAGGAGGGAATGAGGCCTTGAGAAGGTGAATGGAGCTTTAATGATATTTATAACACACCATTGCTCTACCTTAAAAATTTGCAAAATATTAACATCTATAAATATGGACAGTGAATATATTTGAAAATTAAATACAAGAATTTTTAAAATAAGCCATCAAGATAAGACAGAAACTACTCTGCATGACTCCAAAGACTGCCCCCCACTGCCTCCACACTTGGCAACTCAGCCATAAAGAATTTCAAAGGATCCCCTTCTTCCTTCTATCTTTTGTGTTTAATAAACAGGGAGCTGAGATTTCTTCAATTATGCTCTGTACTGCCTGTCTTTCCCTACCCCAGGTAAAGGCCCAGTGTGGGGAGGGAATAGGCAGGAGGACATTTTCAACATACTCTTCCTCTTCTGCATTTCAGGCCCAGGGTGAAGGTGACACCAGGGAACTGATGACTCATTGAGTCAAGAAGTATATCACGATGACTCCCTCGAATGCATTCCCTTTCTGACTTAACAAAGGGCAAAGAAAATTATGTATCCCCCAAACCCCAACACCTACAAATTTACTAAGATGGAGCCAAAAGGAGCTGGCACTGAGTATCACACCACAGCCTACTGGCGCCCCCCTTCCCCCCGCCCTTTCAGGATCATGAGAAATGCCTCTAAAAGGTCCCAGCTGAGCAACTTGGCGGCTCCATAATGCTTTCAGTCTCTAGTTCAATTTAAATTCTCATTAAAGATAACCAATCAAACTGATTACAATTTCAATCCACCTAAGCTCATTAGGAAGTAGGGGGAAGGAAAGAAGTCAGGGAAAAGGAGCAAGCAAGCACGATGGAGTAAAGGAGCAATGCTGATAATTGTAGCTGGGGGCAGGTGTATGTGCAGAACTGGTCGTAAGATATTCAGAGCTTGAACAGAGAGCTGTAGGAAAACAATTCCATCTAAAGCAACACTCACTAGCGTGAGTCTGCAGCAGGGAGAGGGGTAGGCGAGAACAGGAGAATAAGGAGCTCTTTTCTTTTCTATCTGGTGAATTAGGGGTACAGGTATATTCCTTGGTGAATGGCAGTGCTCAGAGCTTTTGGTTACAGTGGTTATCAGGTACTCTTCTCCCTATCAACACCCCTGTTCCTCATAGACACACATTCCTTCTCCTGGGCCCTACTTGCTCTCGCCCATAGGCATCTTGCAACCTGTTTTTTTTTTTTTCCTTTTTTTTTT